CGTACTGCCCTTCCACACCAGCACTGAGATGTTCCAGGGCATGAGGGTCAGGTCAGTGGGCAGGGGACCGGCCTCCTCGCCGAGCTGGGCCAGCCAGCGTCTGCACAGGGAGAGTGCGCTGCAGGGTCCCCAGAAGCCGCTCCTCTGCTGGGCTGCACCCGGGTTCTCCATCAGTGGGGGGTAGGATGCTCCAGCAGATTAGGGTCCTGCTGCTCAGCTCGGGGCTTGTACACAGCCCGGGCCAAAGGCACGCAGTGGAATGAGGCCAGCGGTAAAGAGAGCAGGGTTGACAGGCATGTAGTATGGTGTGTCCCTTGAGCTGAGCAAGGAAGCCAAAAGGGGACACCCCGCATGCTTGTGTTTGTGTGAAGTTCTAGAATGGACCACACTGAGCCACGGTGCCGGAAGGCAGACCCATAGCTGCCCCGGAGGAGGCAGAGGAGACAGAGGCTTTTAGAAGTTCCTTCTTTGCAATCTGAACTAGTGAGGTTAACCAAGTTGTGTGCTTAAGATGCGCACCTTTCCCTGTTTGTAGATTATAGATCCATATCAAGGAATGCAGAGGCCCCACAGGGGCAGTGGGGCCACTATTTGGGGCTCAGGAGCCAGGCACCCAGGGTGGTGGCTGCCCTGCAGCTGTGGTGTCTGTGTGACAATGGACCTGACTAGTTCCTGCCTGACCTTCACTGCTCATCTGCAAAATAGGGCCTCATGGGTTCTATAGGGAGAATAACATGGTGTGATGTGGAACAGCATGCGTGCCAAGTGAGTCCCGGGTAAATGGCATTGTAGGGGTATAGAGATGTGTAAGGTCACAGAGAAATGAAAATCATCCAAAGACTTTTTTTTTTTTTTTTTTTGCTATTCACATGATGATCTGTGTTCCAAATTATATGCTTCACCTTCTTTCAGAGGATGAGGGCTGGGGTGTAGCTCAGTGGTAGAGCACTTGCCTAGTGTGTGTGAGTCCCTGGGCTGGTGCACACCATGTAAGAATCACTCAGCACACCTTACCTGGGAACAGAAGTGTAGTGTTGGTGATCAGGAAGCAGAAATATCTGCACACGCCGGCAATCCCAGTGACTCAGGCTGAAGCAGGAGGATCGTACATTCAAGGCCAGCCACAGAAACTTCATGAACCCGGTCCCCAAATAAAAAAAATAAAAAGGGCTGGGGGTGTGGCTTAATGGTAGAGCACCCCTAGATTCAATCTCCAGTATATAATAAAATAAATTTAAAATACCTGGTTTTGAATCGCACTCCAGCTACTCTGCAGTTGTGAAACTTGGGGCTAGTTTTATTGTCTCTGAGCTTTACTTTGCTCATCTGTAAAATAGTGGAAATGATATGTAACTCAGAGGGTCATTGAAGGATTAAAAATAATACATCAATTCATCCAGTGCAAAGGGCAGGACTTATTAGAGGCTTGATAAAGAGCTACTGCCCGTGTTGTTTTTACTAACAATAAACCACCTGCAAAAGTGCCTGTTAGCTGGATGTGGTATGACCCAGGAGGCTGAGGCAAGAGGATTGCAAGTTTGAAGCCAGCCTCAGCAACTTAGTGAGAGCCTGTCTCCAAATAAAAAATCAAAAGGGCTGGGGATGTGGCTCAGCGGTTAAGGCCCCTGGGTTCAATCCTCAGTTCCCCCCACACACAAAAAAGTGCATTTGTTTTGAATTTTCCTGACATACCTGTCAGAGACCAGCTCCAACAGGGGGTCTCAGGAGACGAATGGATGGTGAGGAGTCGGCGAAAGAGGGGGTGGAGAAACAACACAGACACCAAAGTGAAAGTGTTGATCCCAATCTTTACTTGTGAAGTTGGTCATATATACTTTTCATTTTGGCAGGCTCACAGTACTTTGTGGTTACAAAATAGGAATCATTATTCAAAGAAACAAAATATTACGTAGCTACAATTAGAATAGAAGAATGTACCTTGGCTTATGCATATGCAAGCATTTGTACTTTCAGTTCGCGTTTTGCTTTGAGCTGTTTCTGCTGAGTTAACTTTTAATAATAGTTACAAATGTCCCAAACTATTGGTCTATACCTTGACTAGTCTTTCTTGACTTACTGACTGGAACTGGAGCCATGATTATGGCAAGTGGTTGACTTGTTATTACTTTTAATCAAACAAGAGTAAGAGCACAAACCATTGTGCACAGGAACAAGAACAAGTTGCCCAGTACAAAGCACCAATCTGTCTTCTTAACATTAATTCTTCTTCTCTAGATTTTAATTTAATTTCTCAAAAACTTCCTTGACAGGAATACAGGGAGTTTTTCATTAGACATTAACAATTTACACTCCACAGCTGAATCATTGCATTTAGAGCAAACAGATCTATGCTTTAGAAGTAGTTGCATTGATTGGGAAAGTCATGATTTTTCCTTCATACTTAATGGTTATATGAGAAGTCGCAACTAGACTTATTAAAGGAATACAGAAACAAACCAGCCCATTTCCAGAAACATACTGCGCTCCTCCAGAGGATGGACGCCTTGCGCCATCCACCTCAGTAGGGCCTTGCCATTGCCTGAGTCAGGGGAGGGGCGCAGCACATACCAACTTTTCATTTTGCCCCAGAGGTATATGTTTCCCTCTGGTTTTGAAGGAAGGTGTAAGTTCTGGTTATACTGATTATAGTGTCCTGATTATGTAGCCCTGATTATAGTGTCCATGACTATTAATATCCCAAGATCGATTACTTCTCCCTTGAGGACTTGGTTTGATTCCGTTTCATCTGTGTATACAGGAGGTGCTCAATCAATGCCTGTTGGACAGAAGTGCATCAGTGGTGATTACAGTTTTGATTGGGCACCTTCAACACAGAAGGGGAGGGACACTGGCAGTCATCACATGGGTGTATTTTACCTACTGGCGTCTGTCCTCTCCACCACTTAGGAAATTCAAGGTTTACCCAAGTCATTGTTTCTTAGAGGTTCAGAATGCAGACCCAAATGGCCTGGTCGCATCTCAACTGTGTGACCTTGGGCAAGTTACTTGACTTTTCTGTGCCTCCATCTCCTCGTTTATGAAAAGGGATTAATCGTAGTCCACCTACTTCTCGGGTTTGGTGCACACACGGCAACCCTGCTAGAGGGCTCTTATCCCCATGTCTCAGGGGAGGACACTGAGGCTTGGAAGGCAGGTACTTGCCCAAGGCCACCCAGGAGAAACTGGCTAGCTGAATGTGGTTTTTCAGAGAGTCTGTGCTGCCTCCGGGAGTTGCCAGTTCCCCGTGTACCCCTCCCGCCCCCCACGGAGACAAAGGAGAAGGTCCCACCAGCAGACGACTTGAGCTCCTCTGTGGGGTTCTCTGAGGGTCTTTCCAGGAAGCCCATGGAGCTTCTATCCATTCTGCCTTCTCTCCCCCGAGAGGCAGGACTGGCCACAGGTAGAGGCCCCAGAGTCCACCGGCCTCCACATCTGTCGGGTTCCACACCAGTGAGCTGCCTCCACAAGCTCAACTCTGCAGAACCAGAGGCCAGCGCTTTGGGACAGTGTGGCTGAGGGCCTTTAGAGGCACCCAGGGCAGCAAAGAAAGCCCAGGGCAAGGGTGAGGTCTGTGGAGCCCAGGAGCTAGCTGCCTGTGCTCAGGAATGACACCAGACCTAGTGACTCGGTGCCCTCAGTCTTGTGGTGTCAGGGCAGACCCCACGCCCTTGGTGGGACTGGCGTCAGAGCCAGCAGCAGGAAGGTGGGAGGAGCACCGAGGAGAGGGGCGAGAGCATACCCTCGAACCCTGCGGGCCTGGTTGGTCCTGCTTGCCCCCCAGAGCCTCGGCTTCCCTGTCATCGGTTGGAGAGGATGGTGTGAGCACACGGGGACATCACTGCTGCGGGTGTCTACAGTCAGAGGGCTCTCAACAGGCACGAGAAGCCCCTGGGATTGCTCAGTCCATCATTCATTCCCTGAGCAGTTTCACGGAACACGCTCTGCAATGTCTGAATGAATCCATGAGTTAGAGGACCAGCTGGCTGGGCAGTGGGCACCTCCAGCACAGGCCCCGCCTCCAGACAGCATGAGGACACCTAGGCCAGGGCTACCTGCTCAGCATCCCTGCAGTCAGCAAGTATCGACTGAGCACCCACTACGTGCCGGACACTGTTAGATGCTGAGGACACAATAGGGAGCAAGACTGATCGGGCCTCTGCCCTCGCGGAACTCAAAGGCTGTTGGGGGAGACGGGCCATTGGCAAGGAAACAAGGCCACTCTAGACGCGCTCAATGTGGTGAAGGAATTAGCAGGCGGACAAGATCGGAGGCCGTTTGGGGGGCTATGGGGACAAGAGGTCTCCCAGAGGAGCAGGGAGAGGACAGCTGGCAAAGGTCAGAGCGTAGGTGGCAGGAACAGTTCTGCTGGGGCAGAGCAGACACAGGACACTGGGCAGGGCCAGGCTGTGCAGAGCTGGGTGAACCCAGGTGGGCTAGAAGTCCTGGTCCCCGAGGGCGCCCCCTGCAACCTGGGGGCCCTCGCTCGGGTGCTGGAGGCTGGAGTGAGGGAACATGGCGCCCCGACAAGTCTGAGCTGCGAACACCCCCAGTCTCGAGTGTCACACGGGAAAAGCCGAGGGACACCCCCCACGTCAGCCACCCAGACTTCCTAGGAGCACGTGCTTCCCTGAGAGAAACCCGCTGTGTCTCTTCCTGCCCCAGGTTTCCCAATCTCTTTCCCCCGCTGAAGCCAGAGACGGTGGCGCGGAGGACGGTGGAAGCGGTGCAGCTCAACCAGGCCCTCCTCCTGCTCCCCTGGACCATGAATATCCTCATTATCTTGAAAAGGTAGGTGCGGGGAGGAGCCTCCGGTCAGCCATGCCAGACATTCCCCGTCCCCTGGAGGCCCGGTGGGGAAGCAGCAGGCAGGAGGACAATGTGACCGATGGGCACGAGAATGAGGGGTCGGGGCACCTGCGCCACAAGGTCTGAGCCCCAGCACAGGCGGCGGTCCTCGGGCCCCTGAGGTCCTGAAGAATTACTGAGGAAGCCAGGAGCCGTCGTCTATCAGCTGTCTTTATCACATTCACTGTGTTAGCGATTACAAACGAGAAGAATGTTCTAACATTTACACATTTGCTCCTATTACCCATATTTACTTATTTGCTTATAAACAGTAATAGCAGTAAAGCACGGTGGCGCTCGCCTGTAATCCAGCTATCTGGGAGGCTGAGGCAGGAGGGTCACAAGTTTGAGGCCAGCCTGGGCAACTCAGTGAGACTCTGTCCCAAAGTAAAACATGAAAAGCGCCAGGGAGGCCGCTGGGCAGTAGAACAGTGGCCCGCACGCAGGAGGCCCTGGGTCCCATCCCCGCACCATTAAGTAACCATGACAGAATTGAGTGAGTGGCGATGACCAGCTTACTGCCTGACATGCCGTGTCTTCATGACGAGGAGTTACGTATTCCCCAAAACAAAGTGACTGTAGTCAGGAGAAATGTCATTTTACATTTTCATGAATCTTTCATCATTTAATTGGAGACAACTGGATTCTTGTGTCTGCTGGCGTCACGCAGCCTCTGGGAGACGCCACTGTAGACCTGTGAAAGGGTGACAGTGATCAAGGCCGGTGGTATCTCAGCATGACCATAAAAGAGTCTGAACTTGCAGACCCCTGGGAGGATGGCAGGTACCCCAGGGGCTCCTGGACTGCACTTGAGAACCACTGTTCTACAGACCCAGGCCAGGCCAGCCCCCAGGAAGTCGGAGCGAAGGAGGAACACAGGTGCCACGAGGCCAAGGCTCAGGAGCGTCACACTGAGAGTCTCAGGGACTCACCAGAGTAGCTGAGTGGCGGCTTCATTCAGGAGACGGTCCTCCAGAATCTGCCCCGTGTCGTGTTCCCCTAGAACTTTCCAGACCTTGTGCAGCGAACCCTTGCCACCCCAGTCCCACGCTGAAGGGGCCACTGCAGCTGGCCACCTCAGCAGTGCTCATGGCTCCCCTTCAAGAGCAGGGGTGCAGGCCCTCACTGAGGCCAGGCTGGCACTCTGCACCTCAGGGAACCTCAGAAGTCTTCTGGAACATTCTATAGAAAAGTTAGTTTGCTACATCATCTAAACCCCAGCTGACATTTCCTGTCCTATCCCCCACTACCTCCCCTCGGGAAGCAGAGGCCACTCCCCCTCCCCAATCCCTGCAGGGGACCCCCTCCTCACCTTCCCCTCCTCACCTTCCCTGAGAGAAGTCTTTAAAGGCCCTACCCTACTGCCCCCACCCCCAGGAAGTTTTCTGAATTGTTCTGCCCAGAAAGGAGCTTTCCTGTCTTGCACGTGGGGACCAGGGCCCGTCAATCTGACTCATCAGACAGGGGGTCCTCTCTGTGCAGGCCAGGGGCAGGGAGTCAGATATGAAATATCACCGCAAAAGCACCCAAGTGACAGGCAGGCAAGACGACCCCAGGACTCTGGGTTGTACCCAAGAAAAGCCTGTAGGTGACTCTGGGACACTTGCCTGGAGGACACGACACCCAAACTGGAGCTCACTCCTCGGCCCCACAGTGTAGATCTTTGCTGAAGGACCTCTGGCCCCGCTGCCCTCCCGGGCTGTTTGGTTGCTATAACTGAAAACCACAGACTAGGTTACTTATAAGGAAGAGAGGTTTATTCACTCTCAGTTCAAGAGCACAGGGCTGGCCTGCTGGGCCTCCAGAGCCGGTGCTGCTGTCCCACAGCATGGCACCACGTGGTGAGACAGCAAGCTGCCTCTGTGACAAAGCCACCGCCAGACCACCCATGACGTCTGAGTGGAATAGTGAGGGCTGCAGAGCGCCCTCAAGGTCACCCCCCAGGTCCACCAACGAGGGCCACATTGCAGCGTGAGTTTCGGAGGGGACCAGCACATTCACACCACAGTAGATGCCACGAATGTGGCGCAGCGAGGCTGATCCTGTGGCCGCCCTTCACCTTGTGGAGCGCGGCTCACCCACTTGTGTGAAAGCCCTTCCCTGGGTGAACGCGGTGGTCACAGGGGAAGCTGACCTGTGCTTGGGAAAGGGGAGATGAGTGCTTCTAGGAATACCATTCTACCACTCTTGTTTGATGTGGCCACCAGTGACCCCGCTGCTGACCCCTGCCTGCTGACCATCTTCTTTTCTTCCTCCCTGCTCCCCAGCATACTCCCACAGGCTGCACTAGAGGAGATCCACAGATTCTCAGGAACCTACACCTGCATGAACACCTTCAAGGGGCGGACATAGAGGCAGGAGGAAGAGACATGCTCGAGGAGCGACAGAGCCTGCAGGGGCCATAGAACCTGGGCACACACCCATGCGCCTGCCTGTTGGTACATTTCTGCTGGGTGAGCAGGGCTGCTTCTGTCCCCAGGGAAGAATATGGCAGCCCCCTCAGGTCAGCCCCAGGACCTTTGCACAGGACTGATGCGTATAACTCTGACCCCCATGGGGAGCCAAGAAACCAGCTAGCAGCTGCCTTGTCATTTCTACATTTCTGATTCTGTAGAGTTCATTGTTAAATTGCTTCTCAAGTCTAACCAGCCTCAGCAGTGTGCATAGACTATTTCTGGGAGGGTCTGTCCCTAGATGCTCTACCTTTCCCTCCAAAACCCACTCATCCTCAGCTTGCGCAAACTGGTTGAACAGCTGGAATAAAAAATAAAGAGAGATGGCTTTTGCAAGTTCCCTTGTTCAAATCCTTGGTGGGCAGTTGGGAGGGAGCCAGTTCCAACCACAAAACCCTATCCTTTGAGAGAACTGGCCAGCTCAGGGCCCCCAGCTGCCAGGAGGAGAGAAGTGGGCAAAGACCAGGAGAGGAAATGGAGCCCAGACCTGAGGGCAGAGGGAAGTGCCTGGTTCCCTGCCAGAGCCCTTCCCAACACCAGTGGTTCCCTTGCCTGACCACCAAGAACCAGACTGCAGAGAGCGGGCCACAGCTAGGGCTGGCCACAGCTGGGGCTGCCCTCCATCCTGTGCCAGCACCACCAGGCCATCAACCTGGGAGAGAAGAACCTGTCTTCACCGACACCTGCTGTCTACATGGCACGTGGGTGGAGCGGAGAGGGGAACCCAGCTGAGAAGCCCAAACTCTGAAGACCTCCAGCCATGATGTCAATCATCTGGTCAAGAAAGGACCACAGGTCACTGGAAAAAAACTTTGGGATAGATCACTGCAATAAGGCCAGGGCTATGGGACAGCAAGGACCCCACACCACATTTGATTGCAGGAAAAGCGAAGTCTGGGGCTGCAGAAGGTATTGGTCTCGGGCTCAGTCATTGGGGGAAAGTTATAGCCAAAAAGAGGTGGCTAGGGTCACCCTATGGATCTCTGGCGGCTGTCCCTCCCAGCCCCCATGCTGCAAGCTCACCAACCCAACCCTGGCTAGCACGGGAGGCCAACAATGTCATCTCACAGAAGCAGCCTCTGTCCACAGAGCTGCTGTGGGTGGGTGGCAGGGAGCAGGCGGGGAGTTCCCCAGGGAGCAGCAGAAGGTCACGGCCTCTGACTCAGGGAGGCGCTTCCTCCCGGGGTGCATACAAACCTCAGGCCGAGCCCTCCCAACTGCCATTAGAAGATCCCACCCTCAGCGGGCAGGAGGGTCACTCTGGTCTGCGAGCAGAAATTGATTCTCTGCACCATTTTGAGCACTAAGCGTGGCCGCCGCCGGGCGCGACGTTTGCACTGTTAGTCATCACGCCCCCCGCCCCCAGGCGCCGAGGACCCCGGGCCGGCTCTCGGCGACGGCTGCGCACACGACCCCAATCTCCACGCGAGCTTCAGTTGAGGGTCGCTGCCTCTCCGGCCAGGTGGCTCCAGCTCCGCGCTGTGTCGCCTTTGCTCCCCTCGCCAGCTGCCACCGGCTCTTCAACTTTCTGCCCGGAAACAACTCGCGTCACTTCAGCTCGCATCTCATTGGCCAGAGAGAGGTCATGTGATCCAGCCCGCGCGGGGTGCAGCAGGAAATGCCGTCCCCCCCGGTGCTGGGGCGGCCACGGAAGATGATGTCTGAGGGAAAGGTTAAAGTATAGGCCGGGAATGGAGGGAAGCCGAGGCGGGGACGCGGTGGCCCTTGGGAGCACAGGCCAGGTTCCCCGCTCACAGCACCCCTGGGGAAGGGGGTCAGGAAGCCCATGCCAAAAGGGAGAAAAGACCCCGCCTGCCAGGGCCCAGGGTCTGAACCCAGCGCTACCTGACCCGCGAGCCCCTCTCCTTACCCTGGCATCAGGTGGCACCGATCCCGGACCCTCCATCAGCTTCCTTTTGGTTCTTGAGGACATGTGTCACCAAAGTCTGCCTTGGGTGTCAAGGGGGTCCTTCTGGAATTTTCACAACTACCTAACACACCCCACACCCCGCATGGCTGGACAACATGGGTGTGTCCCCAGGGCAGGTGCCTGTCATTGGCTGGCCCAGGAGCCAGGTTGGGGACGGGTACATCTTGGTGGGCAGAGACAGACAGGAGGACCAGCTGGGGATCTGTCTGCTGAGTCCTGATTTTTCGGACCTTCCTTGAGCAGAGTGGATAGATTCCTGTGCTCATGGTCTGGCTCCAGGCCACCCTTTTGGAAAGCATTCAACTCCTGAGGTTTCCATGAAATTGCATTTGGCCTGCAGGCCAGGAATGCAGCAAGGATCCCCGGGGAACGACTGCATGCTGGGAGGGAGGGAGGCCCAGCCAGCCCTCCCCAGGGCCACAGAGCACAAGTCACTGTCTTGGCTGTGGTGGGAGCTCTCAGTTTCCCAGAGCCCTGGGGGCTTCCTCTGAAGGCAGGACAGAGCCTGGTCTCGCCCCTCCCCTCCTCCAATCTGCCAGGAGCTTTCAGTCTTTTTCTGGATCTTTTCCCAGAGGAACCAAGGAGAAAAGCCTTGGGCAGATTCCCAGGAGGCCAAATTCTGGTCCCTCCCAGGGATGGTTTGGAGGCTTGGAGAGCTAATTCTGTCCCTGTGCTCGGCAAGCGGAGGAGCACGACAAGCGCCAAACCTCCAAGGGACAGGACAGGGCGTGCCAACCCTACAAAGAAGACTTAGGTCCTGGGAAGTGACCCAGTTGCCATGCTTGAGGTTCTTCCCCAAACCAAAAGAGAACCAGATTGGGGGTGGGCGCCAAGCCCAGGGAGGCGCCAGACCTAAGCCCTATCCTGGCCCCATTTCAGGGGACCAGGCTATCTGGCCTGGCAAGTGATCAGGAATTGAGTCCTATGGCCACCACCCAGCTCCTGGGGACCAGAATACTTTGAGAAACTGATTCTCCTCAGGCCAAACTAATGTTCTAGAGTGATAGAAATCTCCTGAGCTGACTGCGTGGCTCAGCCCTAACCCCACTCCTTCCTGTGCCCCAGCCCAGGGCCCTGTCTGGTGGAGAAGCCAGTCCTTGCCCTTGGGAATGTTCCAGTTGGGTGGGGGATAAAGAAAGGAGCCAGATCACCAACAGAGGAGTCATCTGCCCAAGTCCTAAGCAAACTGTTCTAGATGGCAAGGGGGCCGTCTCAGGAGAGGAGAGACCCACACTCCTACCATAACCTTCAGGGGGACTCCTCCGCTGTTCAGGAAGGAAGCAGAGGTTGATGACACCCTGGATGTGTGTACTTATGAAGAGAGCTTCTATATACAGATGGCCTGGACACTAGGAAAAGCCAGGAGGCGACACGGGAGAAGGGCTGGGGCAGCTCCAGGGCACCCCCGTCCTGCTGGGCTGCTTTAGAGGGGGGCTGTGAGGCAGTGATTTGATTTACAAATGTTCATTAATCTCCATCTCTTCATAAATGGACAGCTGCCCACTATAGTTCCTCCTGAATCTGGGACCTCATATGCAGGGTCCAGGCTCCTGCCACCTCTCACAGACTGTTGAGGTCCCCAGGCTCCTGGTAGATGTGATGCCCAGATGCCCATTCTGAGTGCCCAGGCTTCCCACACCTGCCAGGTGGCAGCGAGACTCCTCCAGCAGTGGGAAGCCCTGAGATTTGGGAGCAGAATCTTGACTCTGGAGTCCCACTGGCCTGAGCTCCCCTCTGGGCTCTGCCACCTCCGTTGTGTGACATCGCCCTTCCTCCCCTACAGAGTGGGGTCTCTGTTCAGACCCCTGCCTCTTAGGCCCAGGGTCACTCTCCAGTGCTAATCATACCTAAGAAGGCTCTGTGAACTCAAGGGGGTGACATGATGCTGGTGGCCCCATAGCTGACAGACAGGACCCGAGGACTCCTCAGGACACCTGGTCAACGTCTTGACCTGGCGTGTGATGGCAGCAAGTCACTGCGTGCCTGCCTCCCTGTGGTCGTGTGGGATAAAGCTGTGACTCAGAAGACCCCTGCAGGGTGGTGGGCACAAGGGTGAAGGGAGGTCCCTAGGGAGGGCAGGGCAAACCCCCAAGGGACAGGACAGGGCATGTCAACCCGACAAAGAAGACTCAGGTCCTCAGAAGTGACCCAGTTGCATGCTTGAGGGTCTCCAGGGCAGAGCAGGCTGTCCCCCAGGACAGAGCAGGCAGTGCCATATATCTGTAGGACATTTCTCTGGCACCTCCCACCATCCTTGGCTCTGGGCAGCCCCTGGTGGTCAGATCCCCCAGTGGCTTAGAAAGAAGAAACAAAGAAGTCCCCTGGAAGGTACTGCTCAAAGTGGCAATGTCACCTAGCTGGGAAGATGTGTCCCTTAGGGCAGACATCAGGCATTGGGAGGAGGGTCCACAAGGAAGAAAAACTACTGGCAGCAACGCTGGCCCAGGGTGGGTTGGCTTGACTCAGAGGCCAGCCAGTGCAACCTGGGGGTGGAGGCTGTTGGGACCCCGCCCCCTGACCCCCACCAGGGATGTTGCGGACACTACTGAGGATAACAAAAAGCACTTCGAAAGTAAATTGTCCTTTACATGGAGGCCAGGCCACCTGCCCAGGTGCCGAGCCCCTGGGGGCATATGAAGAAGAGAATGTGCAGGGTCCCGAGCACAGAGGCCAGGTCTCCCATCCTTTCTGCACGGTCAGCCCCCAGCCACAGTAATGCGGGCTGCCTTCCCACTGGGCACACCCTGGGCTCTGGCCCCAGAGGCTCTTCGCACATTCTGTTCTGTCCCCTCTCTTGGACCTTGGTCTCTGTCTCCTTCTCAGATATCAGCTCCTGGCAGCTTCCCATCTGGCCACAGTGGCACTGGGTTGATCTGTCTCAGGCTGTTGTTTATTTCATTCATCAACCATCATCATTGTTACTGTTGTGTCCACGATGGCTTTATGGAGCTGCAATTCACACACTGCACAAGTCAGCCATTGAAGCTCCAAATCCCGCCTATTTAGGAGACTGAGGCAGGAGAGGCACATGTTTGAGGCCAGCCTAGGTAACTTAGCAAGACCCTGTCTCAAAACAAAAAAAAAGCTGGTTTCAGTGGAGCACACTTGTAATCCCAATGGCTCAGGAGGCTGAAGCAAAAGGATGGAAAGTTTGAGGCCAGCCTCAGCAACTTAGTGAGGCATTAAGTAACTCAGTGAAACCCTGTCTCAGAATAAAAAATTAAAAGGGCTGTGGCTGTGGCTCAGTGGTTAAGTGCCCCTGGGTATAGTCCCTGGTACCAAACAGACAAAAGCAAGGTAAAGGGGCTGCGGCTGGGGCTCAGCAGTAAAAGGCCTCTAAGTTCAATCCCCAGTACTCAAAAAAGACAGACAGTGTGGTCCAATGGTATGTCAGACATTATTCAGAGTTGTGCAACCAACATCCCAACCAATCCAAGAGCATTTTCATTACCTTAAAAAGAAATTCTGTAGCCGTTACCAGTCCTCCTGCATTTCCCCCAGCTCTCTCGGGCCCTGGCAACCAGCTACTTTCTGTCTCTACCCATTTTCCTGTTCTTTCACAGCAATGCCATCAGTGGCATGTGGTCTGCAGGGTTGGGCTTCCCCCCCTGAGCATAAGGCCTTCCAGGTTCATCCGGGTCATAGTTGCATCAGAACATCCTCCCTCGGTGGCTGGACAGTCTCGCAGTGTCTGGACAGACGGCAGTTGTTCATCCATTTACCATCCTTGATGGTGACGGGGGCCATGTCACTGACTTGCTTGCTTACTCCGTCTGGCTCTTTCTGCCCCTCTGGACCAGACACTGCGTGAGGTGAGAAGCTGTCCAATTCCGCCCAGCTCCTGGCAGAGAGCTGGCTCGGCTGGACGCTGGGGAAACATCTGTTGTCTGATGGACACGGACGCTTCCTCGGAGGCAGCCCACGTGGAGGCTTCCAGGACGCCCCTTCCTCCTGCCGCCTTCCCTTAAGCTTCCCCATGGGCCTGCGCTGCTCCACCTTCCAGGCTCCACACCGGCCTTCTCTAAACCACAGGCTGTTGACACTGGGGACAGGAGCATTCTCTGTGGCGGGGGCTGTCGTGGGCACTGAGGGTGTCTGGCTTCCCTGGTCTTTACTCACTAGTTGCCCTTCCCAGCTCTGACTACCAAAAAATGTGTTCCTGGACATTTCCAAATGTCCCCGAGGAGCAAAACTGCCCCTCAGGGGCCTCTGGTCTGCATGCATTTCCCCAACTCTTCCTTGCAAGAGTAGCTGAGGCCCAGAGGGCTTTGGTGGCCCGGCTCTGGGAGGCCAGCAGCAGAACCCCAGGATGTGAACCTTCGGTCCCAAGGCTGGACCTTCGTCCCCCAACAAGGAGCAGGAATCCAGAAGCCCCCGCTCCCAGGCTGTGCTTTAACCTTGTGAGATTTTTCTCTCTCTCTGACGACTCCTCCGTGCCTCCCTCTGGCTGAGTTACCCAAGTTCTGCAGGATTTTCCAGCCAGCCCCCCACCACACCCCCAAACCCTTATCATTCCTTTCATTTTTCAACACTCACAAGGCAAAGGAAATAAGCACGTGGCGAGAGACACAGCCAGGTCTGTTCCTTGGGCTGCTGCTGTGATGTAACTGGATCCTGCTTGGGGAGGTCACATGTGGCTTGGGCAGAGCCCCAGCCTGAGGCCTGGCTCTGGGCGTGTGGGCTCCTACAGCCCTGGCATGCGGAGTGCGCTGAGCAGCTAAATATCCCCCAACACCACCCTGGCCCCCCGGGGCAGTTGTGCTGGGGCTGGGCCGGCTCCCTGGCTGGCCGGCCTTGCTTGCTGTCCACCGAGGGAAGCCGAGTGGACCGCTCCAGGTGGCTGCCACGGGGCGCGCAGAGAAGCGAAGAGGCTGGGGTTTGGAGCCAGGCTCTCTGGGAACTTGAGCTTGATTTTAACCAGATCTTGACCTTCCTCAGCTTCCTCCTCTGTGGGATGGGACCAATAGCTCTGTCCCCCAGAGTGGCTTTGACAACCTAGGGAGTAAGTCACATAGTGAACTAACACGGGTGGGCTCGGTGCCAGTAAACACCTAGTAAGACATTAATAAATCATACTTATTTTATAATCACAGTACTCAATCCCTGTGTGTGAGTAAGGTATATGTATTAGTAGTGAAAATCTAACCCTCTTTAGGAGGCTGAGCTGGAAGCAGGTGACAGGATCTCCCCAGGATTATTTTATAGGGGTGCTGGTGGAGCCGGATTTGAACCCCAGAGTGGAGCTGCACACTCCTGACTTTCAATCCCTGAGTTTTGTGGCTTCTTGAGTGTTTCATCGAGATCTTTATCCGGCCCCATTTGGTCTCTTCTCAACACTGCTGTCAGATTCCAACACCTCTGAGCCCAGTCACTTCTGAGCTGGGAGGAAGAGGTCAGTGATTTCTTTGGTACCCACTATGATTTTGATCTTAAATGGCTTTGTGCTAATAGCTTGATCTCAGTCCTTGGTGCTACTGGGAGGTGGGGGAACTTGCAGGAGGTGGGGCCAATGAGAGGCAGTTAGGTCATTGGGGGCGTGTCCTTGAAGGGGAGACACCAGCCCCTTCCTCTTTCTG